AGGACCCTGTAGAGATCAAGAAACTGTGTCCTCTTGAAACCTCACAATGCTGGCAGGAGAGAAAACAAATCTCATCCTGTGGTAGCATCACAGAGAGTCTTTAAAGCAGACCGCTTCCCCCTGGGGATGTGATGTATTTCAGTCCACTAAGCTGGAAAAATGACTGGATGCGGGGTGGGATAGGCTCTCATTAGGGGAAGGGGGTATGAGTTACTCATTCAATTAGTTTCGTTTGATCTCTCAGGATGGGGCTGTTCTTGGTAAAACAAAGTTTTATGACAGTAAGGCAGTATGCCATGCTTTGAGGGATATAGTGGCATTTGGATAACAGTCAAGCTCAAAAGAGCAGCTGATGAGTCAAGGCTTATTAAAGCAATAAGCCACTTGAGGCCAAGTGTTACAAAGATTTTACCACAATTATGGGGTGTTGTCAGGCAGACTGTGTAGATTGTCATGGTTGCCAAGCCACAAATTAATCAAAGATCCTATTATTATCATCGTCAATATTATTACTATTACCTAGCATTATTATTATTGGTCTGTAGCAACTTGTGCTGGTAGCATAAAATTCAAATGATGTACAGTCACGGATGCGCATATTTTGGCTATTTTACAAAAGACTGTAATCTAGGGCTGCACGATTTTTCTGATAAAAATTGCAATCGCTATTCAAAATGTAGTTTGTAAAAAATTTGTTAAAAAGCCTAAATTTACTGTGCTTGTTTGTAGGGCTGTACATTTTGGTCAAAAATGTAGTGATTATATATAAAATATGGCTATAAAATAATAATAGTAATAAAGATTATCATTATTACTAAATAACATTTAAAACAAAATACTATTACAATATCTCAACATAAAATATTAAAATGTAATATTTAAGAAAATTTATAATAAAAACTATAATTACAATACTGATATTCAATACAGAATTTCTAAATTTTCCAATGATCAAACCATCATGCTTTTATTTTAGCAGGAAGCACTTAAAGCTTCTCAGTTTATAAGTGCTTCTTATTACAAGTTTGGGAAGACAATTGGTGCATTGTTACATTCCTTAATGCACGTTAATAAGTGAACTCTCAGCTGCATGAAAATACCCAGACCAAAAATAAATAAAAATTAAGACATATTTGTTTTCAAATCAAGTAGAAGTTTTGGTAATTATTGCATTACCACCTCCCCGTATAAAAATAATCCTTTCCAAATAGGGCTTAGAGATGGAACTGATTACACTGATAGCCTTGAATGCTTAACACAAGAAAGACTCACCATCAGGATCACTGATAATGTCCAGCAGGGATTTATCAAGTGTGGACTTGCTCATTAGTTTCTCCTCATATTCGAAGTACACATCAAGCTTACGGCTCTAAAGACAGAAAGGCAAATTTAGAGGAAAAAATATGCCGCTCAACCTCACAGAAATAATACAATGTGCTGAGAAGATGTAACCCAAGAGATGAAAATAATTTTTCTCATGGAGCACTGACCTTGATGTGGTCCAAAACCGCTGTGGCAACGTTGGTGTGGAGGTCAATCAGTCTCTTCTTTTCCAGGAGCTCAGGAAGAGAACTGTTTAGAGAGAGGAGCATGCTGTTATCTTACTCTATATGCATAGGGTCAGGCAGGAGTACAGCGGTAGGCCTTTGTGAGTCCAATGACTAATTCATATGTAAAACAGCTCTCAAGCAATATGAGACAAGTACTGGGTGAAATTAGATTACATCAGGATATATTTCATATACATAATTTAATAAAAACTGAAAAAAAAATACAGCATATAT